TACAGATAAAATTTTTAAAAGTCAAAAAAGTCTTTTGTAAGTTTAAAAGGTCAGATAAAACTCGAGGTCAGTAAACAGCTAGTCTGTTTGAAATGTTAATAATGGCAGACAGATCATAAAAGATGAATAGACAGACGCGTGATTTATTTCATTTTGCAACTGTAATCAGTGCTTGTAGTTGTTCAATTTTCTCTTAAAGTCCCATTTATTCACTCTGATTATTGTTTGAATGCATCTTTCGCTGTTATTTTTGGGATCAGTTTACAGTTTATTTAAATTATTTAAATAAGGGTATTAAATCAAGGACTATTTAGTTATAGTGTCATAGATTTAAGTGTTTAAATGTTATTTAAATAAAACTGAAATGGCATGTTATCCATTGCATTGTGATTCACTAATACAAAATTATTGATGTTCAATCAAAATTTGTAACCTCATGATCTTACATCATTGGCGTACAGATTATCCTTCAATTGGAAGAGCTCTTCTAACTTCCCAATCCTTTTATTTCTTAAACATATGATAGACAGCTTCTAAACATTTGGAACAAACTATCTGTATATGTATCTCATATCGTTGCCATTTATTCCCCTGCAATACTATTCATGTTATACAATCGAAATGTGCCAACGGCCATTCCATGCTGAATATACCAGGTTCTAGTTAGATCACCGAAGTCAAGTCAGGTGGGTGGCGAATGAGGCACCAATGCCTTAAAGGCTTATAACCTCAGGTACTAAGGTGAAATGATGTAGCAAATATTATAGAGATAATGTGAGCATAATAAAATGACTTGAAAACGGATTAAGAACCGGCATACGCAGCATGGTACCGTAAGTTAACCACCATTGGAACAAGATGCAAGTTACCAATTATGAGTGCATAATCTCATTTAAACTTTATTGATAAGACACAATTACAATTATATACAGGAAGAGATCACATGCAGGTGATTGAAATATATAAGAATAATACTAATGATATATAAATAGTTAATTGTGAAAGGATGCAAACAATTAAGTAAATAAGTATAAACAAAGTCTAGGGTTAAATAAGATACAAAAATAAAAATAAATAAAATAAACTAAGATAAGGTAAAAGGTAGGTGAGTAGTAAATGTGTAGGTAACAGGAGTGTAGCAGTAGTGGCTGAAGTTGTCTGGAGAATTATATGATACAATAATGCATGATGAGGTAGAGGATGTAATGCTGTAGAGTTGATATGACTGTGACTGGTTCATAGGTGGATGACAGGGTTATTGAGTGAGTGAGGTTGAAGGAAATACTGTGTGATGAGGTTGAATGTAGCTAATATCAGTGGTAAATTGAAGGGTGAGTGGTGAGATATGAAGTTGAAAAAGTCCAGCTATTATTAGTGGATGTAGGTAGCAATGTGATTTCCGAAACTTATTGATGATGGATATTGGAGGATCTTAAGAGGATGAGGCAGTGTAATGCGAACAGATAGATGAATATTGCAAGACTGAGGTTAAGCATGATAACAGACAGATAATGGGAAATGTAATAAAACAAAAATAAAATAACCAGTTAAGATGCTAGAATATGAATAAAAATGGGGTGGTAGTAAAAAGTTAAACAAAGTAACACAGGATAAACAATGTACAATATGCATAAATACAAAGAGGAATTAAAATTAAAATATAAGAAGATGTAAAAATGATTTAATACAGGGTATTGTATTAAATAAATGAATGAGTTAATTGGTAAAGGTAAAAATTTAATCATTAATGCATGGCGAATAGAGTCAAGATTGTTGAATATTAACACATAAGAGACGCCTATTAGGATTGGATGGATTTTTCTTCTGCAGTGGAATGTAGGTGGAGATAAAAGCAGTTGGATTTGGAAAATTGAGCTGAATAATGGTGGCTTGGATTGAGCAAGAGGAGGAGTAGGAATGTGTTGATGAGGAATGTGCCTCTTGATAAAAATACCAGTACCACCAGGGTAGGAGTATCGACGCCTATTATCAGAGAGGATAAAATCATTCCTGTAAAAGATATAGTTTGGAAGATTTGGAGGGTTAGTACCAGGTCTGATGTGAGTCTCTTGGACCAAAATGACATCAGGAGAATGTTGATCTGCAAAGACCTGAAATCTTGTTCAACAGGCCATTTGCATTCTAAGAACATACTATAAGATTGTTAGAGTTAGGAGCAATAATTAATTAGTATTAAGAGCAGAACTAGCAGCTTGTACTAAAAGGAACATTTTAGAAATAGGGTCCTTACATTCTTTGATGGAAGGAAGAACTTTATGTAGAGCAGATAAAAGTTGGAGGATTTCTGGATCCATGATAATATCTTTTATAGTGTTTAGCGGAGAAGAGATCTCTGGGGTACTAATTTGTGGTTGTGGAGGGGTTAGTAGAGAAGCATAGGAAACTTTTGGGTTGGAGAATGTGGAGGTGAAGGTTTTGGGTTGGTTAGTGTTAGTAACAGGTTTGGGAATTTTGGGCATCCTCTATATGAAGCTGGGTGTGGTCCCTTGCAGTTGGCGCAGACTGGGTTTTCATTTTTGTGGTGTGTGCACATTCACCGGTGAGATGGGGGCCTGCACATTTTATGCATCTGGCTGGTAACCTGCAATTGATACTGGAATGGCCGAAAAGTTGGCAGCGATGGCACTGGCCGATGGTGCCGTATTTCTCAATTTTGATTTTAGTATACAAAAGGCTGTCGAGATTCCAGATGCTTTCTGCCTCTGGTGTAGCTTCAAGTTGAATCTGGAAGAGTGCCATTGGGGATCTCTCCTGGTCCCTCTTTCTGAGTTGAAACACATTTAAAATGTTGAAGTTTTTTTTCAACGAGTGAGGTTTTGATTAATTCAGGGTCTGTGTTAATAGGCAGACCTCTGATGACACATTTAATGGGTCTAAGCACTTTTGGTGTTATGATGTAGTATGGGATGTTGTTACTGTCGAGGTATTTAGTGATGATAGTGTGGTTTTCCTATGTGTCGGGTTCAATTTTCAAGTAGCTAGCAGTGTGTTTACAATTAATAGTGAATTTGAGGTCGTTGTTAATTTGAAGCATAAAAGTGATGGTGTCGGTGGGTTTGGTGATCATGATAGGTCTAACGTTGGATATAGGATTTGTTGGTGTCACAGTAGAGGTGTTAGTTTGAGGAGTTACAGCGGGTTGTTTAGGTTTTTGTTTAACAGGTTGTTTAGTGTTTTGAATGGCCATAGTACTAATATTGGTGGCTAGTTCATCTTCAGTTTCAAGATCGGAGAGAGTGGCAAAAGAGTTATTAGTTTTAATTTTTCGATTAACAGAAATGGAGGGGGTGGCAGTCGACTTCCTTTTTCTAGGTTTGGTAAGAAGGGGGTGGCAACTTTAAACGGTATTCTAGCATCAAATATGTCTGAGTAAATAGCACTAGAAACAGTTAAATTGTTAGAGTTCTGCATTAATAATATAACATGACTTACCCAGTCTTGCAACTGGTCGTTATTTTTGGAAATATTCCAGGATCTTTCTGTCCGAACTATGTATGCTGTCCGTGGCATTTGATGATCTTTTCATATCGTTTATATCATTGGGAATACAGTGTAATCCTCACGTAGTTGCATAAGGTGTCTCACTTGCAACAGCTGTGCAGATGATATGCATTTGTCCTGTAAAGGTGGCAGAATGTGTTGGAGTGTCTCCTGCATAAGGGGCACTCCTCTTTCAAGTAAATAAGTGATCGCAGATCCGATCGAGAAGTCAAAAAGGTTGTCATTAGATGGCGAGGTCGGTGTGGATGTTTCGTAATCCATGGCGGCACTGGTGGACGCAATTGGCGATCCGGTGCTTGCTGTTGTTTGGCCGTTGGCGGCAGTAGGCTTAGCGGTCCCGGGGGGCGCGACAAGTTTTGCGGCATCGCTAGGATCGTTGAGGCCGTCGAAACAAAACCGTGTTTTAGCGAGGGAGAAAAGTGGAGCACGTACGCTCTCTCCGAAATCCAAAACCGGTCTCTCCTCACCGATGTCAAGTCATTCGAGGGTGGGTGGGAAAGGGGCACCTGAGCCAAAAGAGCTTTTATCCCCATTTTCTAATAGGTGCAGTAATTGGTATAAATGAACTTAAGTGGAAAGAAAATACGAACAGCTAAAAGCAGAGATAGGGGGAGGGGGGGCAATTTATACTTACGTGACTTGATTTCGGGGTACCGACGAGAACACGGATTTATTGAAAATAAAATGAAAGTTACAAGAGGGTGATACAGAGCGAAAGTCATCCACGGATAGGTGGGTAATGGAATCACACGCAGGTGATTTTATAAAAAAAAATATACAAAAAAAATGCAGATGATGAGCTGTACAAGGTGAAAGAACGTAAAACAAGACAAATGAACGTAGCCAGCGTGTGCTGCCATCTGGATGCGGCGTGTGGAGTGAAAAGCAATGTTACAAAATATATTAAGAATGTTTGAATAGTTTTTAAAAATAGAAAAAAAGAGAAAAAATGACTAGTATTGTAGCATAATAAAAAAGAGAATAAATTGAAGAAAATATTTCAAGTGCTTACGTAGAGGTCAGAAGTGATAAAAAGAAATTATCGAAGTTGGGGTGTAAATGAAGAGAATTGTAAGTAGAAAAAAATAAAAAGTGTAATGAGTCAATGTGTGCTGTAGGAAACTGGAAAGTCACTTGAAGAAAAATGCTGACGGTGAAAAATGTGGAGAAAAATGGATCTGGGTGGTTGAAAGTCTAGTTCTTTGAAATCCAGGAGAAAAAATGTTGGATGTTGCTGTCAGTGCGAGAGTTCCGGAATAGAAAGGTCCAAAAGTGGTGGAAAGTTCTTTGAAGTGGAAGAAAAAGTTCTTGTGAGGAGTGGAGAGTTCTTTGATGTAGAAAAATGATCTTGCAAAGATGGATGAGATGAACTTGAGGATGAATAAAATAAATTTTTTTTTTTTTTTTTTGTAGACTATGAGGAAAGACATGAGGCGCCATCTGATGAGAACAGGAAGATATTTACAGGTGAAGGTGGAGAGCCGGATTCGATCCTTTCACCGATGTCAAGCATCATTGGGCGCGGTCAGTACTTGGGGGTAACCACCTGGGAACACCGCGTGCCGTTGGCATTCACAAATTTGGGACCTGAATGGCGGAGTGTCTAGCGCTCTGGCGCTCGGTGCCACAGGTTTCGGGTTCGAGTCCCGGCGGTGCCATGGATGTTTGTAGTGGTTCGGAATCCACTTTAAGCTGTAGGTCCCGGTCTCCTATGACTGTAAGAGCGTCATGGAGCCAAAGTCAGACTTTTACCTACGGGTGCTCCATCACAACAGAAGCTGCTTCCTTCTCCTTCAATCATGAGTACGTATGGGCTCGGCCAGCCAAGTGGGATAAGAAACAACAACAACAACAACAATCAAAATTTGTAATCTCATGATCTTACATCATTTAAGTATAGATTATCCAATTATTATTTCCTTTATTTCTTAAATATATGATTGGCCGCGAAACATTTGGAACAAACCAACTACGTATCTTTCATATTGTTACCATTTATTTCTACAAAATTATTGATGTTATGCAATCAAAATTTGTAACCGCGTGATGTTACATCATTTAAGTATAGATTATCAAAAATATGAACATACTACATCAAACCAAAGATATTTTTGCCTTTACATCATTTAAGTATAGATTATCCAACTACGTATCTTTCATATCGTTGCCATTTATTTCTACAAAATTATTAATGTTTCATAGTTAAATTTCGCAACATTTAACATCACCGAAACTCTTGATTATTCTACACCAAACCAAAGATATTTTCATCTTTATCAGAAGAATAAACACTAAATTAATACAAATAAAATTTTTAAAAAGTCAAAAAGTCTTTTGTAAATTTTAAAGGTCAGTTAAAACTCGAGGTCAGTAAATAGCTAGTCTGTTTGAAATGTTAATAATGGCAGACACTGAGAAGCCAGACAGATCATAAAAGATGAATAGACAGACCTGATTTATTTAATTTTGCAACTGTAATCAGTGCTTTGTAGTTGTTCAATCTTCCTCTTAAAGTCCCATTTATTCGCTCTGATTATCGTTGAATGTATCTTTCACTGTTATTTTTGGATTAAAGGTTATTTAAATAATTTAAATAAGGGTATTAAATCAAGGACTATTTAGCCATAGTGTCATAGATTTAAGTGGTTAAATGTTATTTAAATAAATCTGAAATGGCACGTTATCCATGGCATTGTGATTCACTAATACGAAATTATTAATGTTATACAATCAAAATTTGTAACCTCATGATCTTACATAATTGACGTACATGTTATCCTTACAATTAGAGCTCTTCTTAGCTTCCCAATCCTTTTATTTCTTAAACATATGATTGACAGCGAAACATTTGGAACAAACTATTTGTATATGTATCTCATATCGTTGCCATTTATTCCTGCAATACTATTAATGTTATACAATCAAAATTTGCAATCTCATGATCTTACATCGTTTAAGTATAGATTATCAATTATTACTTCTTTTATTTCTTAAATACACTCATGTCCATAAATTAAGGATAATTCAGAATCACACAGAAATTGAACTCTAAAATAAAAATTTCACCTGTACAATTATCACACACATCTTGAAGAAGAATATGCAAATTACATGAACCCACCAGATGGCGCGGATAGTACGTCACAATGACGAGAGTGTAAGAGAGGGGTATATAAGGAATGGTGGCAAAGAAGTAAAAATTGTTCACAAGCGCTTTAAAAGCCTTTCAGTGCAATAAACATAGTTATGGCACAAAGGAAGCATTTGGAGGATTTTTTACGTGGTAGAATTATCGGACGACTGGAATGTGGACGTACCCAGCTGGAAGTATACGAGGAACTTGGAATCGCCCAGAGTGTCATCTCCAGGCTTTGGCAACGATTCCAAGATGATGGTAATGTGAGTCGATGTTACAGCACAGGTCGCCCCCGAGTTACAACGCCGAATGAGGAGCGGTATTTAGCAGTTACTGCCAAAAGAAACAGACGGAGCACAGCATCAGACCAGTTTCATCAGCTCTCTTCAGCTACCAGTACGACAGTTTCAAGGCAGACCGTGTACAGACGCTTAGGGGCACATTGGTCTATATGCTTGTAGGCCTGTCAGATGTGTTCCACTTACCGCAACTCACTGTCGCCTGCGATTAACCTGGGTAGAGAGCATGCATTGTGGACACCGCAACAGTGGTCTTGTGTGTCGTTTTCCGACGAGTCCAGGTTTAGTTTGCAGTCTGATTCTCGCCGGAAATTCATATGGAGAGTGCCAGGTACCCGTTACCACCAAGAGAACACCATTGAACGGCACCGTTACGGTGGTGCAGGATGGCTCGTTTGGGGAGGGAATTATTCTTGGTTCCAGAACTAACCTGCATGTTCAGAGTGTAACGATGACAGGCCACATCTATCGGGATGTCATTCTGGACCAACATGTACGTTTGTTTCGGGATGCCATGGGTGCTGAATTTCTGTTTATGGATGACAACGCCCGTCCTCACCTTGCAAACATTGTAGACGAATGCCTTCAATTGGAGGATATCACCCGTATGGATTGGCCAGCATACTCACCGGACTTGAATCAATAGAGCATGTGTGGGATATGCTTGGCCGACGAATTGCAGCCCGTCAAGCCCCTCCCACCTGTCAACCGGAACTTCAGAGGGCATTGCTTGATGAGTGGTGTAATATTCCCCAAGATCAGATTGATAATTTGATACTCAGCATGCCTAGGCGTTGTAAGGCCTGTATTGCATCGTCCGGAGACATACTCCATATTAACCATCATACTAATCATGTTATACTGTTTTTTGTAAATAGGTTCTTTTTGAAATTTGCTCCAGGGGTAAAAATCGCAGTTTTTATTAATTGTGTCAAACATATAGCATCTTTTTTGCTCTTTTACCTTTGTTTAATAAATAGACTTTACAAATAAGTCAAATTTGTTTTGCTTCTGTCTTTCTTTGCCTGAACTTCATTATCCTTAATTTATGGACATGAGTGTATATGATTGGCTGCGGAACATTTGGAACAAACCAACTACGTATCTTTCATGTTGTTACCATTTAATTCTACAAAAATTATTGATGTTATGCAATCAAAATTTATAAACCGCGTGATGTTACATCATTTAAGTATAGATTATAAAAAATATGAACATGCTACATCAAACCAAAGATATTTTTGCCTTTACATCATTTAAGTATAGATTATCCAACTACGTATCTTTCATATCGTTGCCATTTATTTCTACAAAATTATTATTGTTTCATAGTTAAATTTCGCAACATTTAACATCACCGAAAATCTGGATTATTCTACATCAAATCAAAGATATTTTAGTCTTTAACGGAAGAATAAACACCAAATTAATACAAAAAAATAAAAAATAAATTTTAAAAGTTTTTAAAAGTTTAATTTTTTTCAGATAAAACTCGAGATTAGTAAATAGCTAGTCTGTTTGAAATGCTAATAATGGCAGACACTGAGAAGCTAGACTGATCATAACAGATGAATAGACAGACGTGATTTATTTAATTTTTCAACTGTAATCTGTGCTTTGTAGTTGTTCAATTTTCCTCTTTAAGTCCCATTTATTCACTCTGATTATTGCTGAATGCATCCTTCACTGTTATTTTTCGGAATAAAGGTTATTTAAATAAGGATATTAAATAAAGGACTGTTTAAGTTTAAGTGTCATAGATTTAAAAATAATTCTTTTAGATGATTGCTGCTCATTTTTTCTGGTGTTCAAGGGGAACAACATTAAATTGTTTGTTGCATAACTTGATTGCCTAGTATGTTTCGTTTTATTTTACTGGAAAGAAAATGAAACTTTTTTTTGTTGTTGCACAAAAATGAATATACTGTTTTCATTTATATTTACTGGAGAGCTCTCCGAAGAGTGACGTAGAAAGATATTACACTCTGGGAAAAATCATAGAGAGAATTGGTCCGCATTTGCGTGTTGAATTGAAAAAAAAAAACGAAAAAAAACGCGATAGTTATGCAAGACAAACTGAGTAATATTCCGGACTCAAACATGAGTTTTCCTACGCGTTAGCTATGCCTATTACTATGATGGCATCGACCGTATTATTGTGCAGATACAAACCGAGCAAAATTTTTCTTTAAGAATTCATTTAATGTTAGTTTTCCATTAGAATTAAATAGAAAATAAAACTGCAAAAAATTCAATCATGTATTTTGTTGTTGTGACTAATCCCTCAGTGTCCGGCAGCGTGGGACAGACACTCCAATGGTTGTCTACTCAAGGATGGAGGCAACGAGGGCGTCTTCTCATGTGACGGAGCACCCGTGGGTAGAAGTCTGACGGCTTAGTGTCGCTGAAGTAGAAAGGCAGTGCATCCTGAGAGAAATTTTAAGGGAAACTATCCCGCATTTGCGCATTGTATGGGGCAAAAACCGAAAACTCCCACCAGGTAGTTCGATTCACGAGGCAAGATGCGGAACATTCAAAAACGCCATCGAATCTTCCCGTTTTTGAAATGGATTCTACAACAATACAGCCAGCGGATTGATCTAACCCTAAAAAAGGCTCGTTCGCACCGAGGCATGAGGCGTTTAAGCGTGAAGCTCTGACCAATCACTAGCCTCACCACGTTCGTCTGGAAACCGGTTTGAAATCCGCCGCTTCGAGTTAACCAACTTTCAACTCGAAGCGGAACTTCACTAGGCGCAATGCTATTTCTGACGTTTCTCTGTAAAATAGTCGAAGAAATTTTCTTGCCTGCAGCGTGAATCTTCAACACTTCACGCCTCGGTGGGAACGAGCCTTAATGCTCACCAGCGGTACAACTTTCCGCTGAGCCACGAGTCGGGCCTGCATTTTGTAACAACAGTAATACCACGCTTAACTCTGTTTAGTACTACGCGGTAATGCTGGGCTTCCTTCTAAATGTTAAATTTTAATCTAATTGCTAAAAACATTATTTTTAGTTAATTACCTACGGCGGGCATTCCGACAACTGATCGATAAAACGGACGTAGAAAATGAACAATCCATTGCAGATGTTTGCCGACTGTATTGATGGACAGGGATCTCATGTCCTAA